ATTAAAACGCTAAAACACTAAATTAAATTGCGTGCACACAAAAAACGACATATATCGTTCAAAGTTTCTCGATAATTTCATTCAACGTTAAATGCCATGTTTACGTTCAAATTCAAGCGTGAATTCGAGAAGTTCTTCATCAGTAATTTCTGGTAGTGGTACAACCATTGTAGCTGCACTCACGAACTTCGATGTGCTAATATTTGCAGCAGAAGGCATCGAAACTTTTCGTTCAAGCACAGGAGTTTCGATTTTTATTTTCTTGATCTGAACGTCTACATCTTCAGTAACAGATCTTTTTTCCGTACCATTTGGTGACTCTAGTGCCTAAAACATTTTTTTTCTTAAGAAGTTCGAAGAAAATAAAATATCTCACTACAGTGCCGTCGTTCGATTTGACCTGTTCAAAAGAATTGTTCGTATTCATTGAATTTCCTACAATGAGAAACATTTATTGCAAGACAACTTAATAATTTTTTTAATGTTCTTACCTGATGAATTTGACATGTTAACGAATTTAATCGAAGAATAATTATAAGCTTTGACAATCTAAATGATCTAAAGATATACCAAATATAGAGACAAAACGTTAATATTACGATTCTTTGACTCATTTATCGTATATATGGCGTAAATAATAACACACATATGATTTTTAGAGTAAATAAAAATAAAATTAACTGCACTATGAAATAAAAACTAATTTACAGTTTTAAACTATTCTGTTACACTAAATGAGACAATTACATTTGAAATATTACTAAAAGGCAGATGTCTATTCGAATTTTTGAGAGCAAATTCGTTTTATGAAACTTTCTTGAAGTCCATGAGAATCGACGTTAGGATATGGCAATTGGCGTGGTTCGTAGGTGATTGTAATGGTTTGAATTTCACCATCATCATTCATTATTTCTCGTGTTTCTTCTCTCTTCTCTTTGAGAACATTACGTGCCATGATATCAATATATAAAGCGTTGTCGAATTCTTGCGGTTCGAGGAAAACAAATCCTCTTTGACAATACCGAATAATCCTTTCGCATATACTTTTTTCCATATCTCCATGCATTGTATAGCATATAAATGATTTTGTCGCAATCGCCTGTAGAAAAGCGATTGTGCAAAATATATGTGAACCTATTATCAATATAGTTAATGATATTTCATGTATTCTAATATGTCTAACCTGTGAATGCAACTTGACTGATGTCAATGTCACTACTATGAAGCATAAAACTCACAGGATTTGTTTTTTCAGGAACATCTTTAAAATTAAACTGTAACTTAATATCAAATGGTAGTATTGCATTATAAATATTGTTGTTCTTTTTTATCAATGTTGCACTCAAGTGATCACTGTTCTTTGACAAAATCGATGTTAAATTAGTAAATGCATTAGCAACAGCATCGGTGAACTCGTTATGTGAATTGCCGTTGAAATTTATATCTATTTGTTCAATAAAAGTATCTGGAAATGGTTGTTTGCAAAGACTATTGACTACACAACCACCAGAGATATGAAATTTGGTGAAATCAATTGCTTCAATCCATACAGAAGACTTAAAACGATTTTCAAAGTTCATCATAAATTCAGCAATTGATTTGACAAATAATATTCGTTTATTCAAAATATTGTTTTGAAGCTTTTGAAAAAATAAACACTCTAAATTAAAGAATATCATATACAGACAACATTGTCTGAGAATGTGCATTCGAATAAATAATCTGTTATAGTCCTCGGAAATGTTTTGTTGGGTACCGATCAAATTATAACAAGTTTTCACTTCCAATAGTCACTTTTTTCAGACCCTGCTTTTTAGTGTTTGATTACGCATATTATATTCAATCTAAACTATAGAGGACTCTTTTTCATCTCCGATTATTCATTATTTAACTTCTCTTATTTTTGTTCGATATTATATTTGCTTTTGTTCTCTCATTCAATGTCGATGTATAAGTTATTTACGAACATCTTCTATATACGTATAGGTCATTTTTCTTTTTCTTTCTCTTTCATATCAGCTGTTTTATCAGCTGTAGTGTTGCACTGCTTGAATTATTTCATATTACGGTTAGTATCTATATTAGGACATCCTTTAAGATTAGCTGTTTGATTGTCTGTACTTATACATCACCTCTTTCATTTTATAGTGCTATCAATAGTCATATTAGGATACCTTATTTGATCAGATAGTTTAATCATTTATTCACATGCTTTTAAACATTCTTTCTATTTTTCTTTTCTTTTAATTAGTCGACTTTTTATGAAACCAGACCTTTGAAGAGACTTCGTTCATGAGCATTTAATTCACGTGTGCAACCGATTATGTGTTTGCAATTAAAGTAATCAAGTAGAACCAATTTGCCGACGTATGTGTATGTATTGAGCGGTAATAAACGACTATAACATTGAAAAGATGGAGTCTTGTACGTACAGCAAAAGCTTTCAAAGGCTTCAACTGTAAATGTAGGATGAATGAAGAGGCGCAATATAGGAGGCGCACCTCGGTGATATTGCTCTGGACATAAATATTCTTCTTCATCGATGTAACATGTATCCAAGTAGAAATCCAGATATGGAAGATTAACTTTGATTTTTTCTTTCTTCATCAACTTCATAAATATTTTGAAAAAGATTTGATCATTAGTTATTTCAATAGTTGAAAATTGTTCGGAACCATTCACTGCCACCATAAAATTAATAACATTCAAACCCTCGAGATGTTTGATTAACAAATATCCGATATCTTGATTGAGTGGAACAATTTTCTCATTAGATGCAGATATACAGGTGGATCATGACGTATGAGTCATATTCGAATAGGTTATGAAAAATCTAAAATGAACAAAAAATAACCAACCCATTTTTCGATGGTTAAATTTTAGAAATAAAAAAATATATAAAACAATTTCTTGAAACGAAAACAAAGAAGACGTCAAAAGTAATTCACGAAAGTACAACAATTAACTATATATCATAATGGGTGTTTACAAAAGGCTAGTAGAAAAAACCATTCTATATATCTTTTTGCACTCCCAATGTTCTTCATTTCACATTTCCATTTTTAATCGCATCAGAAAAGAAAAATTTGTGTTTCGTAGAGCATCTTTAAATCTGCAGGTAATCTAAAAGTAATTAAAGCAGATCGTTATGAAATTCTTGATAATGTATATTTCAGATGAACAATTAGTCGGATGCACAGCACATTATTACTTATAGGTCAAGTTTGCAATCGTCATAAAAATCGTTGTCTATATTTTAATCTGAAAAAAACAGCTTGTATATTATAACACTTATGAAAAAAAAACTTAATTCTTTTGTAAAAGGCAATAACAATTAATTTCTAAGGAGCACAGAAAATGAAGACAGTTCATTGTAAGAAATATAGAAAGGGACAAAGGAAAAAAGGTTGGCGAATGTGTAGCAATTGTAGACCACGATGAGCGACATTGATCATTTGCGAAGCCCCTCATTGCATTTATTTAACTGTTGATCCGAATCGAGTATGTTTCCAACTTCCACTAGGTCTCTAATCCATTGTATATCATCATCATCATCATCTTCATTTTCGATTGTGCTATTATCACCATCGATTAAGGCAATATCTTCGCACTTTGACTTTTTACTTTTCTTAACCACATATCGATTGAACAGTTCGTTAAGTTCACGTTCAGTTGTTTTAAATCGAATTTTATCGAGCTTATTCAGATACCACCAAACATAGTTATTACCTTGTTGAACAATTAGGTCTCTTAATGGGTAACAATTGCCTATTGCCGGCAAATTAACCACACGTCTTGAAAATGGAAAGACAAGCTAAAGAAAAAGTCACACGAATCATATTTTCCCTTCTGCAAAATTGAACTTACTTCTCCAAGTTCATTGACTTCAAAGATCAGTTTTAAATTGCTCATTATTGTAATTAAGAAAAAAAATCTACAACAGTTATTGGAAATATTTATTTTCTTTTAGGGTATATTTTTTTATTTCCAACACTGTCATTCATTCCAATATTGAACACAACATAGGAGTACTTTTAAAATAGTCACACAATGAATTCAACAATCTCAACATCAAATAACATCAATCTGTCATAAAAGAATCTACATTAAATGGTCTTTATGTAATGAATTCTCATTTCTTTTGTATAGTTTTCTAAAGTAATCATTTAAAATTTTTCTTGAAAAGCGAAATTTTTTATTTTCTCTTATGTTTTATCGTACGAAAACACAAAAATATAAAAGAAACAGGATTGATTATTTTGCTGGTAATATTGCTTTCTCTTTATCAATCATTCATATCGGTTGTTATGTCTTCTTTTCTTTCTACTGACATTATTTTGCTGCCTCATTATATTTGTACTGAAGAGATGATCATTTCTTCATTCTCTCCATCTTTCTAACATAATTGTTTTCGTGCTATCGTTTCGCTTTTTTGACCTTGCTTTATCTTTTTCTTCTTTCTCTTGCTTTCAGATTGAGCTATAAAATAAAATATATAACAGACTTTCTGTTAACTTGTGAATGAAGAAATTTCACTTTCAGTGGGTATATATGATACTTCATAAGAAAACATAAATAAAACTAATTCACACTGTTTACATGCATTTAATAAGAATAAAACTAATTGAGACTGTTTACATGCATTTAATGAGAAAAAAACAAGCAAAATTCAATGTGATAGTTTTGTGAGTTGATATGCTAATTTCGATGACATTGTAATTGATGTTCCGCTATCGATTTTCGATAAAATATGCTTAGCAGATGCTATTTGTGCCATAAACAATTGCTCATGACCGACATCTGTCCTGAAAGTATTGATATTATTAGCAAGATCTGGCCATGATAGTCGTATGCCACCTAACAAAAGATCCTTAATGTGAGCAGATGTAGCCGCTTTCAAATAAAATGCTGTTGAATGAACTTGAAACAAATGAGTTAATGCTACGCTACAATCGATTCCGCTTCCTATTTTATTAACAAATTTTCATTACTTTTTTCGATTAAAATGGTGAATCCTTACGGTAAAGTTGACAAAGATCATCAGCGGCTTGTCTTGCTGTTTTCACAGCGCTTAAGCACGATTGAACATTATTGATAAGTTGTTGTTGCTCCTTTCTATTTGAAGTCACCTGACTCTCAGTGAAATTTGCACCAGGAGCAGAACTTATTAAATCTATTGATTGAAGAACACGTGATGGCGTAACACCACGATTAATATCGATACATGGGCCAAGGACACGCATTGCATGTTCTTCAAGTGTTTCATTAGTGCACCGTAAAGAAGCCGATTGAGATGTAATAAATGAAGAATTGTTATCAGGCAGAAAACTAAGCATAGTACGTGGTGATAGAAAAGGTGTAGCTGATAATGGAGCACATGATAACGAAATAGTCTTTTTATGGTTGCGTGTACTAAACCGACGCTCATATTGAGTTTCGACAGAAGAACGGGATTGGAAAGGCTTCAGTGTAACATTGTGGAGTCGTTTGCAAGCTCGATCAGCATATTCTATGTCGGCATCTGATGCAAAACTAACATAATATACATTTCCCTTCAATGATCGCCGCTTGTCATAAGATACGAGGCGCAATTTCGACTTCAATTCTTTAGTAAATTTGTTCATGTACAGAACACGTTGGTACTTCATGACCTAGTAAATTAAACATCCTTTAATTATATAAACTATCCCATTTCAACATGTATATCATTTCGTCACCTTATGCTCAAAACATTCATACAAATGCAATGCATGTCATCAAAATCGTGTAACTTTCGGTGATTAATCGCGATATTTTCAAAAATCAGCGATTGATTGCAGTTATAGCAAAAAATTGCCAATTAATTGCGACTAATTGGCCATTTTGTAACGAACATATGAAAATGAACGGTCAGCCTTTATTTTAATTAATCATTCTTCTTTGATTTACATCATTTGATCCTCGCAACGAACAGTAAGTATCACTTTATTAAGAAAAACTTATGCAATATTTATTGTGAATGCGGAGAAGAAAATCAATCTCTTGATGAACAATCAATTTTCATTTCAAGCCATTGAAACGCAGTTGTAATCGTGATTTTCTCTAAGATAGCTACAAAAGTCGCTTGTTAAGCTAATTTATCACAGCTTTCTCGAAAAATTGGAAGAGATATCAGAAGAAATCGCTAATTTTGACGAATAATCGATCCCATAAATCACGGTCATATCACTGAGTTTTGCGCGATTTTGATGACATGCATTGCATTTGTATGAATGTTTTGAGCATAAGGTGACGAAATGATATACATGTTGAAATGGGATAGTTTATATAATTAAAGGATGTTTAATTTACTAGGTCATGAAGTACCNACTGAGTTTTGTGCGATTTTGATGACATGGGAACTTTATTAACGAATTAAATTTTAACATATTCATTAGGCATACTATTTTTCAAATGTGAGAACAATTCAAAAAATTTCTCCTCATATAATCTGACTTTTATGTTCTATATATTAATTTCAATTCTGCTCGCTTTTATTCTAGAATAGTTTACTCAAAGCATTTTTTCAATCTTGCAAAGATTCAATATTCTCGTTATTACATACAACTTCTTTTTCTATGAATTATTTTCATGCTTTTTTATTTTTGACACTATTATATTCATCTAAATAGTCGATTTTGAATAGAAATTCTATTGAATATCTTTTTTCTACAGAACGAACTCTGCTTTATATTACTGGTTTATTTATGCTATCTCTAGTGATTTCGTCTTTTGAAGTTTTTACACACTATATCTTCTTTTTCGAATCTAAAAGAAAACTTAAATGTGTCTTTTATAAAATATGGTCTTTTCTTTATAAACATTGCTGTTGTCTTTCACTATATCTCATATTATTCTATTTATCAAATTTTTTAACTTTGAAAAACGATTGACTCTTTTCTTGTCTCTACAAAACGAATTCTATTATGTAACATCTGAGTTTTGATGCTCTTCCTTTGGTTACTTTTTAAGATACCGAATTAATAGTTTCCTTGTCAAAAATGAAAAACTTTTTTTACATATTTTACTTAATACATCGTTTTATAAAAAACTCTATTTATTATTCAAACTTATTTAATTGCATTCGAATTAAGTATGGTGAATGCGCATTAAAAAGATTTAGACATGTGGAAAGATTAACCATTAAATTAGCGAAAGCCCAGTGTGATTTAGAATTTCTACGAAGTTGTCTCATATATGGATTAACTCCAAAATTTATCAAATTTAAATTAGCAAACAGACATTTATCCTTGTCTCCAAAAGTAAAAAAGTTTCAACGTGAATTACTTTCAATTGAATACTCGTCAAAACTTAAAAACATTAACAAAATAAAAAAAGAACTAAACAGAATTACTATGGATGGATTCTTCAACAAGTTCTCGTCACATCATCGCAATCGTATCAAACTACACTTGTATGATAAGGAACAATCGGAAATTGCCAAATTCAAAAATCTACATGAAAAAAAGATTACCATATTACTTAATGCAGTAGGAGATCACACACGTGCTCCACTTCTCTCAATTGACAAATTAGTTTATAATTTATCATCTAAGCTACTAACAATTCCACAATTAAAATTATTAAGCAGAGGATGGAAGTTCTGCATAGAAGAAAAAATAATTGAACCATTAAACATTCAAACCGAAATTGAATATGGTATGATAAAAATTAAAGAAGAATCAGATAAAAAGAAAATATCTTGGAACTCATTACGTAATGATATTAAATCAGTGGCAGAAGATATGATCAAGAGAGTTAATAAAAAGCGTATATCTAACTTAAGTCAAGAAGAACATATTGCATTAAAGGAATTAAAAATGGACAAATCATTGATCATATTACGTGCGGACAAAGGTAACGCTGTAGTATGTATGGACAAATTGGATTACATAGAACGTGTCAATAAAATTTTACAAGATCCCAAAAAATTTATTAAAGTTTTAAATGATGAATCTGAATATGATGAAAACCTAATTAATAATAGATTAAGTAGATTATTAAAAGAAAAGAAAATTAATCAAAACACTTATGATAAGATATATGCCACTGGTTGTTCAATTCCAGTATTATATTGTACCGTAAAAGTACATAAAGCCAAATTTCCTTTACGACCGATAATAGCAATGTGCAACGCACCAAATTACAAACTTGCAACTTTTCTGACTAACATGATAAAAAATTATAAAAAAGAAAGTCAATCGTACGTGAAAGACTCATTTGAATTTACAAAAATTTTAAGAACAACATCATGTAATACCAATGACGTGATATTAAGCTTTGATATTGAATCTTTATATCCAAATGTACCGGTAACAGAAGCTATCCAACTTGGTGTTGAATTACTGTCGCCGCCAAAATACGATGAACGCGAGTATTTTTTGAATATCTCGAGAACGGAAGCAGCTATCAACCTGCGGTTTTCAGCATTTGAAACAAAAATGTGGGGGAAATAAACTGATACCAAACCCATTAGGATCGCAGGATTTTTTAGGGTCTCTGGAAACCTGGACTTAAGTCGGACTTTGGCGATCCAAAATTTTTCAATAAGTTTTCGAGT